ACTTGCATTATTATTGTATGTAATATGTGCAGGTATGTATGTCATGTGGGGGAAGGCATTGCCACAGTGCATATGTAGACACCAGAGGACAACACTGTGGAGTCAGTTCTCTCTGTCCAACTTCATGTGGATTTGAAGGATCAAACTCAGGTTGTCAGGTATGTGGCCAGTGCTTTACCCACTGAACCATCTCTCAGGACTGCCACCTTAATTTTGAGACAGGATATCTCAGTGAGCCCAGAGGTCACTGTTGGTTAGACGGCCTGGCCAGAGCTTTAAGGATCTGTCTGTCTCTGTCCACATGCCCCAGTTCTAGGGTGGCAGATGCAAGCCACCATACTGGGCTTTGGGACATGTTCCGTAGACCATCTATTGGAACCCTGACTTTCCTTTTCTATCTCCATCACTTCTCACACCCTTCCCCTTACTGCCTTCTTGCACCATGAAGTCAGCACACTCAAAATGATGCTTCCAAGTTGTATGGATGGAAAACTCTGAAATTATGAGACGAAATGAATCTCACCTCCTTTACACTAGTAATATGGTGATATTGCCATAGAGGTGAAATACACTCCTTTTCTTTGTCTTAATCTCAAGATCTCAAGCATTTATATATCACATACCATCCAATGCATACAACCAACTGTCCCATTGACCTGGGTATCAATAATGGGTTATCATTCCTGGCTTCCTTTCCCATAAGTCTCTATCCAGAGGCAACAAATGTCTGGTGATAAGTGGTCTCAGTCATGGTATGGTTTCTTCAGTTCATCAAGATGTTCTAAATAATAGTAAACTATAAGAAGAAACTTGAGAATTTAATAATGAAACAGCAATTAGATAAACCTAGATCATGGGATATTCTGCAAGACAAATGGTTTTGACCCTTCATAAATGTCAAGGTCATAAAATGCCAAAATAAAGCAATATAAACAGCCAAATTGTTCTAGACTAAACAATGTAAGGCTATAAAAAACTAATTCAGAGTGTGATATTCAACTGGATCCAAAGACTGGGAAGGAAGTGAACCACAAATACCTTGCAATGTGTGTTCTAGGGTACTAGTGATGTGGGCACTGAGAAATGGGTCAACGTTGACAGGACACAGGGTTGCAGCATGCCTGCTGGGACAGACTCAGTCACAGCATCTGCACTTTGGAAGATACTCCCCATGGCAAGCCTGAGAAAGCACAGGAATTTGTTCTCGAATGACAGAACTGTGTGCCATTTTCCATGGGAGTTACTGAAAGATGAAGGGCAGGGACACTTGGAAAGGCTCTACATGAAAAGGAACACCCTAACGACTCGGGTACCATCATTCAAACAACATTGAGTCCCTGAGCCATTAGGTCCCTTGTAAACCTCAGAAACTGCTCCAAAATTGGGTGTCTGGAGATTCACTTCACCATTGGTTAGCCAAGGGCCAACTACAACTCTTACCACCGGAGGTTTGTGATTTCAAGGATCTGGAGACAGCAGACAATTCTATCAATCATTTGGTAACTTTACCCAAGAGGTTTACCTGTACCTTTCTCTATAATGCTTCACCAAAGACAGCAATAAGCTATGGCGTGTGCCATGCTGACTACGCCAGCTGCCCAGCTTCAACAAACTCCATTGCTGGAAAACATGCTACATTTTTTGGCAATTGATTTAGATCAATGTGAAGACCTACAATGCATAAATATGAAAAACAGCACACGTGACAAGCTCACTATCTTATTTGTGGTGTCACTGGGTGCAGGGACTGTGGCGTCCCCTTCAAAAAGATATGACAGTCATGGCCTGTCTCTAAAGGAGTTGACCATATGGAATCGTAAACATGCCTAAGACATGTCTGAAGGATGTGAACTTTCTGATTCTCACTATCACCAGAATTCTCTGGAGCTGCTGTACTGCCCAGCGGGGCACTGCCACTGATGTAGTGAACTCTTGTTTGCTGTCATCTACGCCAAGCTCTTCCCACCCCTTGAGAGAGACACTGATGGCAGGGCTCTCTGAGAGGACAGCTGTTCATTCTGTGGCTTGCTGTTGTGTCATTGTGGTGACAGGGAAATCAGAGGGCAGACTATCAATTTTTTACAATGATTTGAATATGCTTTGTCTCCCCAGAAGATATGTTGAAATTAAACAACTGTGGAACAGTAAGAGTGGAAACTTTATGCTGTCTAGATGTACGGCCTTCGGGATTAGACTCAGGGAAGGTCTTCAGGTGGGAGCCCCATAACTGAATACTGGTAGCTGCATAAGAAAACAGGGTGGGGTGGAGATGTAGCTCAGTGTTAAAGCATTCACCCAGCAAACGTAAAACTTTGGAGTTAATTCCCAAGTTGGGTAGAAACCATGACGGAAAAGTCAGAGGATGCACACAGTTTCCCTATCTCTTACAGGTGGTTCCCTGAAGATTCCTGGGACTCTTACCTGTGAGAAGCCATTCCAGCCTGGAACAGAAAGACAAGACAAAAAATCCCTTTCTTTTTCAATACTTACCCAGTCTCTGCTATTGTGCAACAGATGGCCATAAGATGGCCGTCATTTCCACTCTATCACTTCAGGTTGACTGAGTACTGGCGCTGCATCCAGGAGGACAGAAAGCAGACCACACCTGTGACTGACTCTGATCCTGAGGGATGCTCATCTGAGTGACCTGCTCAGGGTCCCTCAAGCCAGCAGACCGGCTCAGGGGCCAACAGTTCTTCTTATTAATGGTGTGTGAACTATAGAGATTCTGATTGAATGCAGGCCGTAAGATAAAACTTCGCCTCTTTGGAGCGGCTCTGGCTAAGTACACAGTACTCAGGGCCTTTCTACAGATGTGAACAAGTTGGACAACCATTTGCTTCCACAGCCTGACTATTTTTATTTCCACCCCCACCCCACCCCCATCTGATTTCTTGTCAAAAATTGTCCAACTCCTGGGCAACAGGACTAAACACTGGGGTCACAAGTGAAGAGGAAAAAAGAACCGCAAACGGCTGCTTCTAGCCATGCCAACTGTAGAACAGACCTCTCTTGGCATGAATATAGCCCATTTAATACGCACCGCAAGTACTGCACACTTATATCATATTTCACACGGAGCAGTAGGGGTCCAGAGGTAAGCTTCCTCTCACCAAGCTCTTAGGAAAAGAAATAAAAGCTTCCCTGAATGTTTAATGTTCTGCTGAAGCATTTTGATTATTTTATCCCCTCCTCTAGAATTAAGAACACGGTTTGCACCCATTAGACTCTCTTGTATGCTCAATAAATTTTTTTTAAATCTTTAATAAGTTCTGCACTGTTTGTCAAAATAATAATTTTCTTGTTCTAATACATATACACATGTTTTTTATTCCTTAATTATGTTTCCCAAACAAGAAACTAAAGACTCCTTTTCCTTGTTGATACCTATAATTGTTACTTATGTTACATTTATTTTCAAGTAATCAGTGTTTTGTTTTGTTACTTGTTGTTTCTTTTTAGAGGCAGGGAGTCTTGAGTTGTAATCTCAGTTGGTCTTGATATTGATCCCCCCCCCCCTCAGTTCACTGAGCGCTGTGACTAGAGTGGCGAGCCATCAATGTCCTATTCCAATCAATATTGTTGAAATATCGCCTACGGCATGTTTCAAGTAAAATAAATAAATAAATAAACAATTCTCTCTCTATCACACTGTCCCTCCTTTCTTTAGAATTACAGAGACCAACAGTGAAGAACAGTCCCCATGCCATCACTGTATCTTCCTTCTGTGCCAAACATTCCACATCTCCTTGGGAAAGTCTGTACTGGGCCACTATCAGGTTTAATGCAAGTAGATGTTAGTTTCCCAAATATTCCATTTTCACTTGAAGGCTGTTTTGTTTTGAATCACTGATACACAATTCGATCAGTCTTTTAGAGTGAGAGTCTCATGTTGGTTTCAAGAACATAACTGGCAAGAACTCAAGGCTGCGGTCGTGCAGTTTTCCGGATGGTCTTTTTGAGTATACGTGCTCTCTGGAAAGCACCTGCAGTCTGCTCTCCTTCCACCACACGGGACCTGTCTGTCCCTCCCGATGCTGCTATACTGTGTAACAGAATCACCTGTATCTGAAGTCTATGTGTGTCTGTGCACCTGCGCATGTGTGCCTATGGATGTGTGTTTGCACTTATGTACACACAGATGTGGAAGCCTGAGGTTTCAGTGGGGTGTCTTCCTCAATAATACTCTACCTGTAATTTTCAGTAGTGTGTCTCACTGTACCTGGAGCTCACGGCTGTGACTACACTGGCTGGCCAGCATGCCCAGAAATCCTCCTGTCTCTACCTCCCAGCACTGAGATTATAGACGTGACATGGCAGCCATGTCACTTTATGTAAGTGATGGGGATCCAAACTCAGGTCCTTGGGCTTACCTGGCGAGCATTTTAACAAGTGAGCCATCTCCCCAGTCCAGGGGCACTCCTGTGTGCATCCCAATTTTGTCATTGTGGTTGTTGGTTTTAATGTCAACTTGCCACAAATCCGAGGCACCTGAGTAGGAAGCCTCACCAGAAGATTGCCTGAAAACCCACCTGATTGTGAGTAGAACCTTCTGGAAGCAGTCCACAAATGAAGGGGCAGCAGAAGATTCCTCACGTTTTGGTCATCCGACTTCCCTCTTGGTGGGTTGGTTTCAGTTGCTGCTGCTTCCTTCACTTATACCAAAACCAGTGTTACCAGACTGTCTTCGTGGACTAAGGACATGGAACCTCCCAGGTTTTAGGCCCCCAGCCTTGTGGACTGAGCAACTGCTGGGTGGCTGGGGAAATCCAGCTGCTGCAGGACCACTACTCCCACAGCTGAGTCCCTGGGCCTCAGGGCTGGGCATCTACACAGTCCTTAGCTTCTTAGGTGTGATTCGGTTGCTGTTACTATTTTAAGGTAACCTAACCTAAGAAATTCTTTATATATTAAATATGAATATATATCCACCCCATAATTCCTGTTCTCTGGAGAAACCTGACTAATACAGTCATACAGAATAAAAAGACACACGGTGGTTTAATTAATCACTTTTATTGCTTTATCAAGGGCATTATTCCACAAAACTGTCCTTTTTCCCCCTCCTCTGAGTGGACTCATCAAAGGAGTTTATTCTGTGTGTTTGAAAAATAACTGAGTTCATTTCAAAGACTCTTGGAATATACCCAGCCTCAAAACCATTAATATCCCATCAATTACAATGTCAGTTTTAAGTCTGCCAATCAGCTCAATCACTGGGGAAAAAAAACAAAAACAAAAAAACCTAAAACTTAAGTCCATGGTAGTAAAATTTTGAATATTCATAACAGCCCGTGTAGGTTAGTTGTAGAATTTCTTCTCGTGCTCTCGATTGGATGATGTGGTTCTCATTTTGCACACTAAGTGATATGGAGGGCACACTTATGGCCTGATAATCAGATGTGCTAGGAACATTCATCACTGTCCACTCCTGACTCATGTCAGAAGCCTCAGAGGCACAGACTGAAGAAACCAAGGAGTAAAAAGGAACAAGGGAGGGCAGTCAAGAAGACAAATACAGATCTCTCTCTTGTTCAGGCCTGAGATGTTCAGATGGCCTCACCTCTGACTGGTTATAATTAAGCTGTTGAGAGGATAAAATCTTAGAGTCACCTCTGCTCCTGCTCACACCGTGGTCCCTTGCCCATCTCCCCAGTAAATCCTATCTCCAGCCACACCTAGGTTTTACGTTAATGTGGTAGAGCCTGGGGGACCGATGGGTCCACAGTTACAGGTAAAGAAGTCACTAGGACATAAAAGCTCACTCTGGTGTGCTGTACCCAGTATCACATCCTGGAACACAGGAATGGGCAGGTCTGCTCTGGGAAGACTGATTGGTTTCTCTTCTTTTCTTTTCCTTATTGATCTTCTGTGAAGGAGTAATTGGGGTCCAGATCTACAGACTTGGTCATTTCTATGTCCTCTTTCTTGGTCAAGTACCAAGATTCATGTTCCAAGATTCAGGACAAGGTAATGGAGAGGTAACAAAACATCCTCTTTGGGTTTCAGGTCTGAACTGTACTCATCCATCAAGCAGGAAGGTTTATTAGGGACCAGGTCAGTGTTCATTATGTCATTTGAAGCTGTGCACAAAACTATCAGAAATCCTATAGGGGTAACCAAGAATATTCTGGGAATTCAGGAGCTATTTGTTTGTTTGTTTTTTATTAGTGTGAGTGTGTGTGTGTGTGTGTGTGTGTGTGAGAGAGAGAGAGAGAGAGAGAGAGAGAGAGAGAGAGAGAGAGAGAGTAAATGAGAGGGTACGGGAGATATGGATATGTATAAAGACATTGGATTCCCTGGAGCTGGAGTTACAGTCTGTCAAACATGGGTACTGAGAACTGAACTTCCTCTACAAGCACTCTCATCACTGAGCCATCTTTGTAGCCTCCTAGTCCCTGGGTTTAGTACCAACATAAAATCACAACGCCTTTCCCGGAACCCTTCCCCTTCTTTCTCTCATGCCTGTCACCATGCCGATTTCACAGCAGTCAATAAAATCCATACTAAATAACAAACAAGAACAAGGGGGCATCTCCCTAAAACTATCACAGCAGTCAATAAAATCCATACTAAATAACAAACAAGAACAAGGGGGCATCTCCCTAAAACTATCATTCATCGATCTCTCTTAGTGGACAAATTTTAGTAACAGTCTTCACAAATGGCTACAGATAACAGCATTTATATAAAAATATAAAGTGTGAACATTTGCTTATCTAATCATCACACTGTAACACAGGGTTAGCTAGTACAGCAGGTGTATGGCAGAATAGGTAGAAAGACCAAGTAATGTGAACAAGATAATAAAGGTAATACATTGCAGAGTGTCAACTCAGGCTACATTTTCTTACTCTAGTGTCATAATGCATAATTTCATACCCCCTGAATTTTTCCAATACTTTTGGTAATATAATTTATTATTATACTATAGGTACTATACCCATAGTATATATTTGTTATATTATATAGTGTATATATGTTGATAATACAATATGCAATAAAGATACTCACTAATAATAAAAATTTAAAAAACAACAAAAAATAAAGAACGGTAAGAATGTTTTATAAAAATATTCAAGACTACAAGGTTTTCTGTAACATAAACTAATCAGCACTGCTCTTTGAACCCCCACACCACATACTCTGATGATTCCAAGATGCATTACTTGGGCAGAATTGTGCCCGTCCTGCTCTAGGGTAATCAACTTACTCTACACTAGTGCTACGGACAATATGCTAAAATTTTAATGTCAAATATTAGGCATTTGCCAAGTGTGGTGGTGCACACCTTTAATCCCAGCACTTGGGAGGCAGAACTCTGAAATTTGAAGCCAGCCAAATCTACAAAGAGAGTTCCAGGCCAGTCAGAGATATATAGTAAAACCCTATTTATTTTTAATGAATAAATAAATACCATATATAGAAAGGTGGAGCCTTTGGGAAGTAAGTAGGGAATGAGTGGACCAGTGCTGTAATAAACCTCAGAGAACTCACTCCCCTAGGGTCACGTGAGTCACAGGAAGAGAACAGCTGTCTATGAATCAAGATGCCACCTGCATTTCTCAGCCTCCAAAAACAAGAAGTAAATCTGTGTTATTTTTTAAGAAACCAAGTCTGTGGTATTGTATAAAACAACCAAGAGAGACTAAGACAGAACTTGGTATCAGAAGTGGGGTGCCGCTATACAAGGACCCCAAGTGAGTTAAGTCTTGGAACTGGGGAAAGGGAAGGCTAGAAGAGATCCCTGATTATATCTAGTAGGAACTGTACTATGATGGTTTTGAAAACTACATAACATCACTGAGGTTTTTTTCGAGTTCAGGTCTGTCCTAACCTGTGTTCTGTAGACACTGAGCTGGCTTTCCTATGTGTAACATATAATGGACAACTGGAAAAATGAAACTCGTTTTCACTTGTTCTTCTGAGCAACATACTAAGCATCCAGTTACTAAGGATAATAATGGCCCAGACAGATATTCTAACTACTAGAAGTCAGTCCTTAAGGCAACAAGAATTAAGGTTCTGAAACTTTAGATTTGTTACATGACCAAAGTCAAAGTTGTCTCCACTTTCAGGAGCAGAAGTGAAGGCCACTGGCAAAGACTAGGAATCATCTTCATAACAATTCTGGTAGGTTTTCTGTCCACTTCACTATACTGCGTTGAAGCTTTGTCCTTGTGAACAATCTAAGTAAAATACACTGAGGCACTGAAGTGACTATTGCATAGCGTTTATTGCGACCCCTTGTGGCAGCTCCCAGAAGTGTCACATGGCAGCACGAACACAGGCCAAGTACACTTAGGCATTGAGAGGGCAGCTCTTATAGCAGAGCCCTGCTGTATTAGGACACATTTCTCACACAATTGTCTGAAGCAAGAAGGCATCTTATTAAGAAAAACCTAAAGACAAGAGAAGCATAGGCTAAGTATCAAAAATTAGTCTCAAAGCATTTAAGTCTCAAATCTGTATGTAAGAGTCCTATAGTACCACGTTTATTTTCATTGAAATGTACTCCATTAAAAATAGTTTTTTTAATTCTTTGAGAACTTCAAACAATGTGTTTCAATAATATTTACTCACAAGTTCTGCCCCTATATTTTCCCAAATACATCTGACCGCCTATGTCCCACAATGTCATTTTCTTTTTTTTTTAATAGCCCAGAGAATCCAATTATTGCTATCCATATATTCCTGGGTATGGGATGAGTGACATGAGCATGGCTAATCTGCCAGGAGCTATATCATTGAAGAAAAATGACCCTCTCTTCCCTAGAATACATCTACTGTCCACAGCTCCTTGGTTGCTGGTCAGGGTTCAAGAATCCATTCCCACACCAGACTTGGTCTTGTGCCGGCAACCAGAGCTTCTGCGAGTTCATGCATGCAGCAGGCTGTAATATCTAGAAGACAGCATTTCAGTACAGTCCTCCCTGACCTTCACTTCTTACACGGTTTCTGCCTCCTCTTCCTCAATGGTCCCTGAACCTTGGGGAAGGGTGTGAGGTACATGTCCCATGTGGAGCTGAGCTCTCCCCTGACACTCATTCTCTGCACTTTGACCAGCTGTGCCTTTCTGCTCTAACTACTATCCACGGCACAAAGAAATGCCTCTTTGTGTCTGACAGCTAGAATAATCTCCAGTTAAAGGGCTATGAGTTCAGCCGGAGGTTTTACATAAATAAAGATACTATGATTGTTTTGTTTTATGGACAGAGTACCAAACTGCTTCTTTTTTCTGTACTATAGCTTTTAATCCCATGGAATTTTCTCTTTTCCATCTTCCACAAATGAGGATGGTCTAGCATAATCAAAAACTTTATTTCATTTAAAAATTCCTAAGAGAGACACTCCAATGAAGTTTAGGCAGAATTTTGTTATGGAACTCTGGAAAAGAAGTATGATGGAGCAAGAAGGCCTGGAATACACAATAGTGGCACTTATATCTTGATGGAAACTAATTGGACTTAAGAACCTCATATCTAGAGATGACACTGGACCTAGGGAAGAACTCACTACTCCCATCTTGCTAGATCAACAGCTTCTAACTGTATTCTAACTTTTACTCTTATACCCAGACAATGGTAATTCTCATCATTGGGGGTGGGGCTCATCATGGAAGGCTACTCTAGAGATCCATGAAGGTCAAAACACAGAGAATAAGTGAATGTGGGGTGTCCAGCACCAATAAGTACATGTACAACACAATACTGAGCAGGGGAAGTGTACACAGGCTCCTACCTACTAACCTAGAAGCTATGTTTAATTTATAACTGCTGGCAAAGGAAAAATTAGCTTTTTCCAATGCAGTCTCACTGAGTATATCAACACACTTCAGGGTAGGCCCCATGCCCAGGACTAACTGGCCAACACAACACAAACTCAATGCTTATACCTATAACAGAACCTGAGTAGAGGAAACTTCCTTTTACAGTGGGCAGCAGTCACTAGAGAGATGCTCAGCCTTTTATTTTAGCCTGTTGGCCAGTTGTGCAGCTCTCTATATATGAGTCAAGGCTTGGGAAACACTGAGGAATATGGGCTAGAAAGGATGCAAAAGCCAGAAGGCAGGATGTTGTGAAATGCTGTCCTCTGGACATGGCAATGCTATCACATGGGTGAACTCACAGCAGCCCATGGTACCTGGACAAGACCAGCATTAGATCACGTCAGTCAAAGTCCCTGCAAAAGTGGGAAAGATGATCTCCAGGCTATTTACAGAGGAGCTATTTCCAAGGGAGAATGTGGCCACTGGCAATGCTCCTATGAGCCAGTGTATGGCCCCTCACCCGTGCACATATGAGCAAAACTGATTAGATTTCGTGCGTTCTAATGCATTTTTAAAAGACAAAGTTGGGAAGAGTGGACATTGCAGGGACACTGGGAAAGGTGGAGAATCATTCTCATCACACATGTATCATATGTGAAGTTCTCACAATGTTAATAATCACCTGAAATATTGAGATTTAAGACACACGTGAAGTACTCAGCATTTGTTTTAGACATTTATGGAGAGAAAGTAAAGCTACTACGTTATTTTGTCAAAGGCATAAATCCTTTTGAAGACCATTTCTGAGAATTCAGAAGAATTCCACTTCATCCAGTATACACTTTAAAGCCTGACCTTATACCAACAACCCCTTTCAGACTTCGCTGCTTTGATGTCATTACATAAAATGGGAGAAAATCCCTTTCAGTCCTGATACTGTGTAAAATACATATGGTCCATTCTCCAAAGAATAAACTTCTCTTGAAAAACACACATCTAAGCCAGTTTATTCCCACGTTAGTAAAAGCACCTATAAAATTAAACATCTCAAATTTTCATGAGGAATTAAAGAATGATACAACCTCAAAGACAAGTTCAGTCACTTCTTAAGATCCAAAACCCAAGGTCCAGGGAGGTTAAGAGACTTGTCTAAAATCATGTTGAATTCAGGACAGCCAGGGCTGTTACACAGAGAAACCCTGTCTTAAAAAACAAAAACAAACAAACAAACAAAAAAATCATATTGAATTAACGACAGATGTAGAGTTGAGGAGAATCTCTCCACAGACGGGTTCTTCCACCAGCAAGGGACCCTACAACTCATCAAGAAAGTGCTGTTTGGGGCTGGAGAGATGGCTCACAGTTAAGAGTACTGCCTGCTCTTCCAAAGGTCCTGAGTTCAATTCCCAGCAACCACATGGTGGCTCACAACCATGTGTAATGAGATCTGGTGCCCTTGTCTAACCTGCAGGCATACAAGCAGGCATAACACTGTGTATATATAATAAATAAATCTTTTTAAAAAAACAAGACTATGCTGCTTTTTATCCTCATTTCTTGCAGGCTGGCAGTCAGAGCTCGAGAGCAATGGTGTATGTATTTCCACAGTTAAGAACACAGACGTCAACACAACAGTTACCAACAGGCTTATCATCTAATGGATTGAATGCCAGTGTTACTTCTCTTTGTTTTCAGAGAGCACCAGTAGGTAACCAGTAGGCTGAACGTTCTCTGACCACATTAGAAACCAGCAATGCTCAACAGGAGACGAACTGCCTACGATGATAGAATGAATACACCGTGCTCATGACAATCAGATTCACCCCAGAGGAGAGCCCAGGGCATTCACTTCCACCACCCGGAACAAAACAAATGGCTCTTTGCCATGAACCGGACATCTCTTCCTCTCCCGCTCCATGGTATAAGAAACAATTAGTGACATCTCACAGATAGAAAAACTAGGAGACATATTTTTAGAGAAAATTGCACTTCAGAGAGAAATCAGAGGAGGCCACAGGTGAAGAGAATATAGACAGACTGGTTGAAAGGACATCGAAGTGGGCACGAGACAGCCCAAGACCAAGTTCTCAGCACAAAGGAGATTTACTTTACCCAGAGAGACAAAGAACAGGAAATAAAAGACAAGGGCAGGAGACAGAGGACCAGAGGATGAGAGGGAAGGGACATTTGCCACAGTGGGACAGACTGCCTCTCGATAGAGAGGAGACCCACAGATAAATGGCAGTTTATAAAGAAAAGGGGAGACACCTATGTTAGAACGAGATGTTTAACTTTGGTTGAGCATGTTAATTGGGGCAGCCAAAAGGAGGCTTTTGATTGTTGGACTTTAAAACTTTGATAGCTGGGCCTCGGTGGTCATCCTCAGGGGCAAGAAGTGGCCAAATAAGGGAAGAGACCTTGGCGGCTAACTTTACAAGCATAACCTAACAGTTTAGCAAGACGGAGGGAACAGGGGAAGGGCAAGGCCTGCCTGAGCCATGAGTGCCATGCTCAGGCCAAATAGAGCCCCTTTGCTAGTGAGTTGGCTTGGGGGTGTAAGACGAAGGAAGTTGTGTCCTTTGGACTGGGAGGACAGAGATGCCTGACAAAGCTTTTCTTACTCCCATCCCTGAGAACAGATGGAATCTCTCATTGCCAAGTTCTAATGCGCTTCACTCATTCTCCGCACCAAGAAACCGGGCTTGCCAAACACCAACGAGCTGCTGACAGGGAGGTGAGGATCACCCTTCCACAGCTAGATCTGCAGCCAGGAGAGCACTTGACCTTAGGTCAGTCTCCACAGAAGACGGCGAGCATATGGGTCCAAGCGCAGAGACTGAAATATAGAGGCAACCTCTAAAAGTTAACTCACAGCTATTATTTGACAGGGCTCTTTGTGAGAACGGCTACAATTAATTCTTGCTCTAAAGGATACTCAACGGAATGGCTATTATCTCCAAATATTAAGGCATCCAAGAAAATTAGTCTAATTCTGTCATTCTAGTACCATGTAAAACTAGTCCTTGAAGACCAGGGCCCAAAACTCTTCAGACGAAAAGTTTTGATTCCTATCCACCAGCCACCTTAGGGCCTGGGCTTCTCTCTTAGACTGCTGAAAGCTGGGGAGCCACAGCTCTCTCAACGATCTCCCACGCAGGGCCGGAGCGGCTGGGGATGAGAAGGCGAACAGGCTAGGCTCTGGGCAACTCAGGTGGCTAACGTCTGCCCTCCACTGTTTGGGTGGTAAGCCCTGCATTGAAAGAAGGAGAAAAGGAATTTAAAACATACAGTAAGGAAATGCAGTCCCCATATTCCCACCACCAATAGGGGGACACAGCACACTTTCCATAAAGTAAATACTTTCCCTCCAGTCACGGCAGTTATATGGTTGAAGTGTCCATAAGGAAAGTACAACATTTATTGAGACTGTTCCATGCATTGGACACTACCAGGTCCTAGCTGAGATAGTCTCACTTAATTCTCCTGGCAATCAAATGAAACAAATACAACCACCATATTTTATAGAGACCGGAAGTGGCATTCTAAGTACAGCCCCAAATCAATGTATCAGCACACCTAAGATGGATCCCAGTTCTTCCCAGCGTCCTCTTCCCTCTCCCGCTTGTTGACTTATTTAAATATTTTTATCCTGTAGGTCAATGCCCATATCCTCTGCACAGGAAGGCTTTTTAATGTGATTAATAAAGTTCTTGATATTTTGATTTAATGTTACTTTTCTATTGCTGTAACAAAACCCCATGATAAAGGCTACTTATAGAGAAAGAAGTGTTTAATTGGCTTTATAGTTCCAGAGGGTTAGAGTCTTTGATTGTAAAGACACAGCAAGAGGAACAGCTGAATGCTCATAACCTCACCTACAAGTAGGAGGCAGAAAGGACACACTGGGAATGGTGTGATTCTTTTGCTACCTCAAAGCCTACCCCCAGTGACACACCTCCTCCAATAATGTCACGCCTCCTAATTCTTCCCAAATAATTCCACCAACTGGGGACTAAGTAATCATATGCTTTCCCCTCCCCATCATCACCCCCCACACACATGAAAGTTCATGTTCTTTCTGACTCTTAAAAAAAAAAATCACAAATAGGCACATAGCTTCCTTGCCTATTCTGTAATACACAACCCCAGGATCCCCAGACACCTCCTGGCTTGCCTGCCAAAAACAAACCAACCAACCAACAAACAGAAAACCTAAATGGAGCTGAAAAGACTCAGTTATCCTTAAGGGACTGGCCACTGGGAGCTTGACCATGTTCCAATGAGTGCATAGACAACACAAATTGGATTGCTGTATTTTTTTTCCTTTTTATGTTTTTTGGGGGAGGGGAACACAAAGATGGGAGGGTGACCTAGGGGAACGAGAAGTGAGTGTGATTGGGCTGAATTGTATGAAATTCCTAATCAATAATCAATAAAAATATTATGTTGAGCAAAAAACTAAACAGCCTGATTTGTGTTAGTCAATGACTCCAGGGCATGCAACCTGCCCTGGAGTGTGGCTAACATACAACTCTGTTAGAGAAAGGTGATTTTCTCTTTCTCCAACTATCAATTCCAAATAGCTGGAGAGATTTAAAAAGAAAAAAAAATAAGTTTCTCTACAGTGAAATATGCCTGGAATCTGTAATTCACTTAGTAGTGATGTACCAATAGTAATTTCTTAATGTATATAAAATGTTAGCATTAGGAAAGGCTAGGGAAGGGTTTACAGACAGTTGCTTTTCATTGTAACTCTTCTGTGAATAAAACTCATTCAAGAGAAGCATTATTAAAGGCAATGGCAAAATACCTTAAAATTCCCAGAAAAACTGATGTTTCCATAGTTTATATTTGGCTAAGCTATGTCATACACATTAGAGGATAATAAAGATGTCTCACACAGCTGTCAGGAAGCCACTGGAGGCTGTGATGGACCAAAACGAGAGAGCAAAGCGAGAGAACCACAAAGCAGTGTCAACACGGGAAAGGACGGAATTCCTACGAGGCTATGGAAACTACCGCGGGCTGACACGCCACATCACCAAATGCAGTGCGGGAAGCGACAGTGCCCATAGCACGGTGGTGATGGGTGGCTTTGTTTTAAATGTGTAGGATTATTTGATGCTTTCGCCTATAGGCAGAAGTATCTTTTTTCTAAAAGTAAGCTGTTCGGCATAAAAATAACAGTAATGTATCAGGTTTATAATTAATATAATCCTAGTATATCTCAAATTTAGAAAGCAGAGCAGTAGGCCAAACTTAGAAATATAGTAGCAATTTTGATGCTACCCATGGTTAGGTCAATATACTTTCTTTTCTTTAAAGTGCCCATAGGAAACATAGGCAAAGACACTGGGGTGCTTACTTTGAGGGAGAGAGGGAAGTGGGCGAACAGCCTTTTTAACATCTGACGTGACCCAAGGGAAGTCTGAATTAGTTTACTTGGGAAGGCAAGCCCTCCCAACTCTCCTTCTCTTAAGTTTGGTTTCTATTAGTTTTGGCACTGTTACTGGAGCACCATATCTATCTCCAGTAAGGCTTGCCCTAACCTTAGTGCTTTTCCCAGCACATGTGCTTAGACAAAGAACTAGAGACCAGAAGAGAAAGTAGGGGGCTTTTAACAAAACCAGAGTACGGGGAGGGAGATTGGAGCTTCGGAATAAGGGACAAAGGCAGACAAAAGGGGTAGGGGACAGTCACATTGTGTCTCTGACTCTTAGCCGAGGCTTTTATTAGAGTAGACATGAAAACTGCACTTCCCTCCCTCGGACCAGAGGAGGAAGAAAAGAGTCATCACTGTGTTTCTGGCCGTTTTAAACTTTGTGTCAGTTAAATGCTATTTGTAGACCCTAAGATTCAAGATGCGTGTGTGAGAGGAGACAGCTAGCTGAATTTACTAGCTGGGTTCACCTGCTAGTTTGTGCCAGCCATGCAGAGAGAAGGGCCAGAAGAGCGCCTACTGCTTCCAGTTTACCTTTTAGTTTTGTGGCCAGTTCGAGAACCCACGTTTCTCTTTGGACTTCTTTTTTAACTAAGCGGTAACACTCAGTTTAAAGACTGTTTTCTCAAATGTTAGCAACTGAATGTTGTAAGTTGCCATTTTGACAATCAGCTGCCTCTCCCAAATCCCTAACTCTTGGCCCACCCCCACAACACCGTACCCAAGAGTTTTTTACTGAGGCATTTCTGAGCACAGAGACCCAAACTGCAGGCTGTGAAGAAATGCTCAGACTTAGACTCCAAAGTGGGGTTGCTTTGACCACGCATTGTGTTGGGGTACCCCTGGGCAGGAGATAAAGAGATTCCACAAAAGGATACCAAAGTGAAAACCAGAAATAGTGGTTCACATTCTCAGCACTGGAAGAACCAGAGGCAGGTAGTTAAGAACTGACCACCAAGGGGCAACTTGGGATGCATACAAAACACCACACACCTGTCCCGACTGATGGAGGATAAACTAATCTGTCTTTAAAAAGTCATGGGATCACTGATACTGGGAATGCGCTGAAGACAAGGCCAGTCTGAACCATTAGCCAGCTACTAACTGTATTGGTCACGTCTGGGAGTCCTTCTCCATCATGACCCTCCACAGATGTTTATATGAGGCCGTCAGCAATAAAAACATTCTTCTGCCACTCAAGAGAAGGTTCTACTGAACGCTGTAGTGTTAAGTTCCATCTGCAGGTAACACTACAGAGAGAAGAGACATAAGAACCGCACTGTGGCTGCCTAAGGGTCTACCAGGAACCTTTCACGACACGACTGGAAGTGTGTTTGATGAAACGGCTATGGCATTTTTAGAAATAACTAAGTTTCCGCACCTCCTTCCAGCTGAGGACTTGAGGAGAAAAGCCAGCTGTCTCTAAAATATGGTTTTCAAAAACTGTGCTTCCAAAGAGAATACGTCTCCTAGGTGAAGTGATTCCAAGTCCTACGCTTCTGAACTCTTCCCGTCTGTTAGGAGCTGAACCACCAAGAGTAAGAATCCCTTCCCAGGAAAAGAAGTGTGAACTGTAGCGTTGGGCACTAGACTGGAAAGGGGTGGCTACCACACAGGTAACGAGGAATCAGCCAACATTTCCCCAAATTCCTAAAGGTCAAGAATGCTCTACCATACAGTGTGGGACAGCTGGGAGCCCCAGTGCAAATAAAGCTCAAATGCGCTCACTGTTCTTCTCTGTGAGCTTCCACAAAACACCAAGGAGGAATGAAAACACAGAGCAGAAAACACAGAGGGTCCCCCTCTTTGGTACAATGTAAGAACGGTGAGCATTCAAGAATCCCAGGTTCTTTTCTCATAAGGAAAACCATCTAGTGTCACTAAGCGATTCTAAGAAACTCCTACCCCTAGATCTTCTTCCGTGGGGAAAACAAAACCAAAACTATCATCTTTCTAATGGTTGTGGAAAGTCTAGAAATGATTTTGTGACCAGCAGGCCACAGTGATACTAAAAGTCGCCTGCTATTGGTGAGGGACATGGAATTCTCCCATCCAAATTGCCCAGAAATAAAAAGTATAATCTGTCATGGGAAGGAGAATCATGAAAATCTACACAGCCTTACCCCTAGATCGAGGAAATGAGAGCTGGCCTGAGTTTAGGGCTTCCAAGACAAAAACAAAACAACAACAACAACAAAAAAAAAAAACCAGCATGCCCCACCATGAGCCTACCTCATCATAATCCACAGCAGCAAGAGGGAAAACATTGAAGCCTGTGGCTAATTAAAAGCAAGCAACAATGGTCTGGAAGAGCTGCTCAGTGGTGGAGTACTTGTCTAATACATACAAAAGCCAGAGGGTGATCTGCAGCACTGGGGCAAGGGAAAAAATACAAAAGCAAAATCCAGCTCCACTCTTAACTAGACTGACGGAAGCCAGACAGCGACAGAAGCATGTCCACGTTCAAATACTAATGTTAGACGCCTCCATGTTGCAGCGCCAACAATCAGTCAAGGACGGTGGGGCACATGACAAGTAAGACAGTTAGCTAAGTAAGCATTATCAAGAGAAAAGGAAATGAATGGAAACAAACCCGGAGATGACTCAGACATTGACACCCTTGGGGGGGGGGCATTTAAGATGATGGCCAGTAACATGCTAAAAACACAGTGGATACTGGGGAAAGTAGGCAATCACTATGGTGATTTTATTGAGAAATAGAAAATGAGTCGAACGGAAATGTAAGTTTCAGTAGCCACAGGAATGTTCTATGATTTAATTTTTTAAACAAGTATTTGCTTAGGGAGGGT